TCAGCTCACGTGCAATGAAGGCTTTTTCTGATCAAAATTTGTCTCTTGTCTGTCGTCGTCATTGACTCTTTTGTCATCTTTGTCGTCATAAACTTCTTAAAATTTCATTTTCTTCTCCAGAACCATTGGACCAATTTCTATCAAACTTAACATAGAGTATTCTTGAGTAAAAGGTATTCAAGTTTGTTTGAAACAAAGGGCCAGTCTCTCTTCTTCAAGGGAAGATAATTTAAATTGAAAATAGGAAATAATCATGTAAAATTTTCTTCTCAACATCCAGTGACAAAAAATGCAACTTATGTGAAAGTTTCCTGTCATAGTGCAAATTTACGCCCAGGGGTAAGGGGAGGTAAGGTTAGGTCTCAATAGGAGATCAAAGTGCATATACAAAAAAAACAAACAAACAAACAAAACAATCTTCTTCCCAAAACAGAGGGGGGTGGGGGTGGGGGCATGTTTATGAATATTCAGATGCAGTCAACCGCAGGTTAGTGCAGATTCAAGTCTGTTCAAATCATGGCCCGGAATAGAGTTGGGTTACAATAAGGGACCAAAGTTTTAAATGGGAAAATTTAGAGAGAAAAAATGTTTAAAAATCTTTTTCGTCGAGAAAGGGCCAAGATAACTAAAGTAACGTTAAGTTGGAATCACCCTTAGGTAGAACAGATTTAGATTTGTTCAAATCATTGCCACCGTGAGTAAGGTGTTTCCACAAATAGGGGGAACAAAATTTAATTTGGAAATGTTTAGGAACAAATCTTCAAAAATCTTCTCCAGAAAAACGTTAACAATACTTTGATTAGTATCATTAATATACAATCAACCTCAGGTAGTGCAGATGCAAGTTTATTCAAATCATTGCGCCCTGGGACAGGGTGGGTCAACAAAGGGGATCAAAGTTTTACAAGGGAAAAATATAGGTAATGTGTTTTAAATTTCAAAATTTGAAAAAAAATCAGGATCATGATTACATTGCTATCGATAAACATACATTCAGAACTTCATTTTTAAATCATTCTTTTAAAAAATAACAGTGCCATACTAAATCACATTCAAATAAAAAAAAATCCAGTTTCATTTTATTCTTTAATTAATAGATCCTGGAATTAGAGTGAGGCTAAACTCAGTAATTTCACCAGTTGTATCTTTACGTCTTCTGCAGAACGGGGAAGCCATGTTAGTCAAAATGATATTGAATTATCCCAAAGATGTATTGATTAAACTTAGATTATGTTATGAGATGGAACATAATATGGCGTAAGAATTTTTCATGCAAATATTTTTTTTTAATTTTGTGATGAAGATCAGGAGGGCCAAGATGACTCGGATGAGTGTTGTGGCCTATGGGCCTCTTGTTACATGTATTCATTGTCAGTGCGAAGCCATGCTAAGATAAATAAAAAAAAGATTCTTTTATTTTGAATAATGAGATATTGATTGTGGAAAAGCTATATATGCGTGAGAAACGTACTTTAAATTGAATCATAAATAGACTATAGACTGTAGTCGCATTATCTGCATATTTGGGTGAAGTTTATAAAATAATACACCAATGTTTTGTTAAGGCATACTTCCCATTCACAATTTGAATGCTGTGTCTTTGAATATTTGATCATCTTTTGACATTTAAATTAGCGAAGTTGTCTTCTGTCTTGTTTTATTATATATCCAACGACATACGTGTATTAGGATATTAACGAGGATCTCTTATGCTGACACTACTTACCATTTACAATCATGGTAGCAATCATATTAAGGACTACTGACCCTCTGCTCTAAATTTCACATTTTTTTTAACTTCCCAAATTGATTTTCATCAAGATCTATGGCATTAGCTTCAAATGAAAAATTGTATGAAGTATGAAGCGCTGCTTATTACCCCCTTGCGCAACTAGTTGCAGAGGGGATATAGCATCGCTACTGTGCGTATGTGTGTGTGTTAGTTGGTCCGTTACAACTTGTGGGCAAGATTTAAAGTGGACCTTTGCACTGTTAAGTCTCTCAGCTTTCATTTAAGAAATAAATAACAAGTTTAAAAACTTTGTATATAGGTGTGGTACGTGTTTTTTAAACGTGGTTTTTCTGGACTGAAAGTATCAGAATCTTTATTCTAACAACTTTTAAGTGTATTTAAAGTAAATTAAAAAAAAATATTTTACATTTAACAATCCGGAAGACAAGCCCCTGTGCGTGAGTTGGTCTACTACATGTAACTTTGTATTTGCGTAATATTGTTATATTATTGTACGTATCATTCTTGAAAGCTATAAAGACATGTCACAAGTTTCATCGACCTCTCAACACCAGCTGCAGTTTATTTTTCATTACGAAAAATATCTCTTCCGTGGGTATTCTCAGATTTGATGCATATTGCATGCAACTGTCAGGTATACCCAGGTAGGTAAATTACTGAAATTTAGAACAAATGTGATATGTTTCTGCTAGGAATAAGGGAAACTGCCCAATCACGTATGCATGTTATGCCCCCCCCCCCCCCAAGATTATATACACCTTGACTTTTGTTAAAAATTTAATTAGTGTTGCAATACATTTTAATTTCTTTACCTTATTTTAAACATTATATAGTAAATTACTGGGTACAATATGTACCCTTGATTACTAGGCCTAGATGATTGTATCTTGTTTAACGTCCCTCTTGAGAATTTTTCTCTCGTATGGAGACATTGCCATTACCGGTGAAGTTCCTGCCGCGAGGGGATACTCCTTTTTTTTTTTTTTTTTTTTTTTTTTTTTTTTTTTTTTAGAAAATTAGTTTTTATGTCAGACATGGTATGAAGAAATTTTTAATCAGAGAATAGGAAGAGTTATAAATTTTCATTGGAAAAAAATTCTACATTTGGTATTTGATACATTAAAGCATTTCTTAAAATGGTCCATAAAAAGATGGAACTTACTCAATTCGCAAGGGTTTTAAAAATGGATTTATTTTTTTTTCTTTTGTCAAATATAATAAAAATAAAAAGTATTGGCAATAGGAAATAAAAGTTAATGTTTCTATCACCTGTCAGGTTTGATCGAATTGACCACTCAGGGGTCCATATTATTCAGCTTTGGTAAAATAAACTGTGTAATATTAGAAATCTTTACTTTGAAAGTTATCTCTCTTATCAGAGGGGCGGTCCCCCTTAAACTGAAACCAGCTTATTTCACCCACTCCGATAGCTACAAGTGATATTCGGCATACAGTGTACATGTATACGCGATAAGGGTGCACCAAGTGTAGACAATGGATTTTTTCTTTTTATATGAACCTCAAAATCTCTCAGTAAAACACATTTACGCGCTTTAACTGACTGAATGCAGAACAATCTGACATTTACACCGATAACGTGTTATATTTGGCGATTTGTTGCGAAACGTTTTCATATCGATCGCTGGTTTCAATTGTCCTTGTACACCTTAAATATCTTACAGAATATTAAGGACAGTAATTATTGTCCTAATAAGTCCCTTGGGCATGAAATAAGCTTATTACAAATATGTACATTTTTCATAGACTTGCCTCAAATTAAAACATTAGTTGAATCCTCTGAAAAAAAAGAGCAAATTGATTCCTGACTTCCCTCTCGAAATAAATACAATAAAATACTTGTAATGTAATTAATTACATATGGACCATCATATATATACCAAGTAAGGATGTCAGTTTTACTCGGACAGTAGTCGGGGGCTTTAGTCGAACGATAGCCGAGTACTCGTTGAAATTTTAATTAATTTTTCATGTTATTTTTCCTATTTGTCTTTAACAGACTGCTAACCTGTACAATATTTAATCTACGCTATCACAATTATACAACGAATTATTGGATCGTTAATATTTACATAGTAAAAAAAATATATGTATTCAATGTATTTGATCTCAAATATAATATGTACTGCACATTTTATCTATAGATAGATTATCAAAATTAAACGCTCGCATTCATTCTTTCTTTTCATGCTGCTAGTACATGTACCCGTTATTGATTTCTTACTTAAAGCCATTTGAATGTGTCTTGTCAGTGACCCGTGGTTGTTAAACAATTAAAGCGTAACTCTTATAAAAACAAAGACAGCTTGCAATAAATTTTAATTATGAGATGTTTTACAAAAAAGCAATACAATTTTAAAATGATTGTTATTAATATCGGATAGAAACACCTTTAAATTACGCTCATAACTGTCCCCAATTTACATGTATTTACAAATACGAAACAGCTGTTTAATTATTCTTCATTAATTGATAGCTGCATTATACGAGATCGTACGGAATTGCAGGTTGAAACTTTACAATTTGGATCTGACATCTGTTAAAGTATGCCAATGCATGGTGGCCGAACAAAAAATTCCTTTGAACAATTAACGAAGACCAGTTAAGCCTTTCCCTGAGCTTTACTCACGAGAACACTGAACACTGATACGTTAGTAAATGAACTGAGTAGATCCATTTTTTTTTTACTTGAATTAAGATTACTATTAAGGAGCAAATTTTAACGAATAACCGACTAAAATTTTTTTAGTCGATAGTCGGTATGATCGAACGATAGTCGTGTTGACATCCCTAATACCAAGCTTTGCACAATATGTTTTCCTCGTTTTTAAAAAATACGTAAGAGCAGTGTATTAAAAAAATCTTTCAGTATTTTTGTGTATTGATTATTGACGGTAAGAAAGGAAATAAGATATACTGTTATCATAGAATTATGTTTTCTTTCAAAATATTTATCGATTAGTTTCTTGTATGCAAGAATACAAAAGCAAATGCATGCAAATTAAAAAAAAAAGCCGCAGTAGACAAAGGCAGTGTGGTTTTCTTTGTAATCCAACTGTGCATTTTAATGTTTACATAATGTTCAGACAGTTTATCATTAAGGTTATCTTTAAATTTGACATTGTGAAGAGATCTGAATTATATGTTAGCGTTTCCTTCGTGTTTACAGATTCAGTATGGCAGTCTACATCGATTTTCTTTTAAAACAATTCTAGCTGAAATTCAAATTGATTATGGCTGAACTGAATCCATTTCTGCCCAAAGTTTCATGGAGAGAGGAAGCAAATGCCATTGTTGAGGTGGGTTTCTCTCTAAAGTACAACGATTTTTCAGACTTATTCAAGATCATTTCAGTTAACCAACGAAATGAAATACAAACAAGAACGAAAGCCCGTATAGTAACAAGTAACTTTGAACGAGAAGAAAGAGACTATTTTCAGCTGTTCAAACCTTCACAGTATGAAGTGTCTAGAGGAGATTCAGCTTTCACTGCATTTGACAGAGATCTTAAAAATTTGAAGGATTTTTCCTTTTCTCCGAGCTTGCGAGAAGTTTATGCAGCTGCTGATATCTTACAAAAAGCCATATGTTTGATAACATTGCAAAAGGGCACTACAGAGTTTAGAGGAATAGATATTCACCCGTTTCTACATAAGGGTGAAGAAGATCTGAAAACCATCGTTATTGTTTTGAAGTTTTTCGAAGGTGGCGTATATTTTCAAGAAGTTAACTGGCCCGAGGATCGCCCATTAGAAACATCACCTTTCACAATTATAAATAAAAATCATGAAAAATGCCTGGATAGAAGATTCTGCAACAGTTTTGACGTTTTAAAGGATGGCTTTAACTTCAATTTCCTCTGTAGTGATACAAACGTAACAAATGATGATGGTTTGACGATTTTTGAAGTTCTCGGTGATGTTTTTTACGCAGATAAAGCTGCCAATTTCTTCGTCAGAGAATTAGTTGGTGTTCATCAGTTATATCCACTTCATAAAGACGTATATGCTCGATTGATGGAAAAGAAAATGAATGTGTATATAAAAGAAGAGGACATTAAACGCGCTAATGATGAAAAAGATCCAAAGAAAAGAGGAAAATTACAAGAAAAAAATCGTACAAATGCTCAAGAGAAACATTTGAAGGAATGGAAAATATTAGGCGAAGGGGACAGTTTTGCCGTTGCTAGTTTATATCACATTGAGTTGTATGTTTCTGACGGAAGCAGACATGATATGTTTCATCCTATCTGTACATCTGTTATTGCTGTTTTCAAGTCGTCTCTTTTCGTGCAGAGGGCAAAGGGTTTGAATTTGATAGGAAAATACTATGGAGTTTCTTGTCAAAGTAAAAAACCGGAAGTGATCGGCAACTTCCCTTTGATCTCAGGAAAGAAGGAGGAGTTCATCTTTAATCAGCTCAGTAGGTACATTTTTGGAATTTTGTTTTCAACGATACAAATTTTACAATATGTTCTTTCCATTACAACAATTTCGTTTTATAGAGAAAACAGCTTATATTTGCTGCCCACCAGAAGGTCGAGGACACACCAGTGCGCATAGACACCTGAAACATATCAAGGAGTCTAAAACACGTTTGGACGAAATACAGCCATTCCCGACAATCAGGACAAAACTTCAAGTTGCAATAAGCGTCAGCCTTGAAATGGAAGGTAGACGAATTGACCACATAGAGAATGGAACATTAGAACAATGCCTCAGCAAGGAAATCTTTGGTTCCCAAAGTCAAGAATGTATTGAAAGATTACGGTATGATGCAATTTCAAATTAAAATGCCAAGTTCAAATGATATCAATGATATCAACCAAATCAAAAATGATGTAAGGATAGGTAGGCTAAGGGAATTTAGACCTCAAACAGTGGAATTTTTCACATTTAAACACCATTCGTTTTGCCACTTACAACATTTCAGGCCTTTTTGACAAACAACAAAAATAACGAATAATTACATTGAATATTATTGTACCTCCTTGCATAAAGGTCTCCTCGTCTTCTCAGCTATGTGAAACTTCCCGAAGCTTTGAAATGCTTTGAAAACATAACATTACATTGTGATATCGGTTTTATTTTAAATTGTGAGTTATTTACTTTAGTAAAGCATGTAATTTAAATAGAGAGTTCTCTCGGATATATATTAACATATTGTTATAATTTCCCATATTTTTTTTTATCACGTGACGGTCATTTATGATTTTTTGAAGTGTTTTACATTAATCGCATCGGCGCAGCAGATTAACAGAATTGTGACATGACCGGTAATGTTTTCCTTTGAAGTTCACTGTACAATAACTAAATTGCAGAACAGTTTCTAGTGTGCAGTCCTTATGCAAATGACCCCAACTGTACAATAACTAAAATAGAGAACACTCAGGGTATCAGGGTAAATCAAATTTATTTTTAGAAATTAACAAACAAAATGACTAGATTTTTATCTCGTTACAAAATAAAAACTCAAATAGAAACATAGAAAAACAGTAAACATTTTTCTTTATACTGTTGACAAATATCACTTCATAGAAAAAGTAAAATTGCACATATTAAACAATGCCGGCATAGAACTTAACTCCTTGAATGGTTCACGCATTGCGGATTCGTTCCTGGTTTCATTGCACAGGGGTTTGTCGACACCTAACTGTAAATCACCATGGAAGTGCTTGGAAGGCGGGTCATCATTTTCGGGTTCCAATGGCCTCTTCTCAGATTTACGTGGCGGATCTAGAACTTGTGACACTTTTTTTAGCATTCCCGAGCTGCAATCTTTGTACTTTCGCACTGCATCGGATCGATGTCCGGTCCTCTTCATAATCTCTTGCTCAGGGACTCCCGCGATGTTCATTTGAGTTGCACATGTGCGTTTTCCGCTATGATTTGTGAAATTTCCAGACAAGTCACCTTTTTCTGCTCTCACCTTCATGAAATTTTTAAGTTTGTTTATGCCGACGTTTTGGTGAGAATAACGAATTTTTACATCTCCTAGTGGTGGCAGTGGGCGCCGATAGAACGATCCCCCTCCAATTGCCTTTAGATACGCATCGAAGAAATCGATTATGCATCTTTCTCCTATATAAGTAAACAAAAACTAGTTTTCATTTGAAACACAAATTCAACCAACAATAGAGAGAGAGAAGGGGGGTTTACAGTTGATAAACAAACATAACACATAGTTCTAGCACCAAATTAGGACACAATTTTTCGCTGTTATTTCAAATTGGAAATGTATTGAACAAAACGGCCATAAATGGAGAGAGAGATAGATAGAGAGATTTTAACATACCTGGATCAGAGTAGTGTTTGATGTTTTTGTTCTGAACATTCAACTGGCCTAATCCTCCTTTATAAGTCTTGGAAGATCGTCCCACGAACTTAATATATTTTCCATACTCGTCAGCGCCGATGAAAAATTGTTCAGCTGTCAAACTATGGTGCTAGTCACATCCTCTGAGCCCAAATAGTTTGCTAGCATAAAAAATATTGTCAACTGCAATTGTTCTCCGTTCTCTTGTCCAAAGACTCCCTTCTCCCACAGTTTCTCTTCCTGTTCCGGAAGTATCGGGTCTGCACGTTTTATGTCACAGCCAAGTCCTTTATCAATGAGATTTCTCTTTTGTGCATCAGCAATCTTCCGAAATCCAGCGAATTCTGTATTTTTCTCATCCAAAAATTTTTTGTCATATATTCCTTTGTCTCGTAGGTGCCTTAACAGTCCACATAATATCAGATAAATTGATTTCGGTGGGTACTCCGTCCCGTCCTTTTTTCTCATTTCTACCACGAACCTTTCAAGCCAGTAACCCATTTCTTTGGAGTCCATAACGTGAAGTTCAGGAATGTTTTCATCCCTGTTCTCTCGCCATTTCTCGAATACATTCATTGCCCATTTCGTATTGCTTTTTCTGTTCGCATTCTCCTGGTCGGACACGAGTTTGTTTAGCTCTTCGTCTGTTACCGGCGTCCTAAAACGCGTAGATTTTCCTTCATCCTGTATCTCGGATTTGACGATAGGGTTAGTGTCGATACCTAACGTTACATCAAAAGCGCCATAATCATTCGCAATTGCATTTTCTTCTTTCAGATTCAGCGATAAATCACATATTCCTTCAAATGCTAAATTTTCATTCTCTAAAGTTTCGCATATCTGAGATAGTGTAATATCGTCTATATCATTGTCCCACGCAGCAAGAATATCGATATCCATTATATCCATATCCGTCTGACCTTCCATTGCATCACCGTCTAAATGATTCTCATAAGCACAATTCGCGCTAGCGCAAAATGCATTGTTTATTGATTGGTCACTTTTAACTTTTTATACTTTATTCAAATTAGTTATCATTACAAAATCTGATTTGCTGTAAAATTACACAGATACAGAATCTTCAAAATCTAAAAATAACCGAACTGTCATGTCACAAGTCATTTAGAATACTCGTTTCTTATTGTATGAGAGATACAGGGCGGGGCGCGGCTCGAGCTAGCGCTCTCGCCTTAAGTCCCGCCCTGTATCTCTCATACAATAAGAAACTCGTACTCTAAATAATACTTATTTTTAAATTTATGTTGTATATATAAACTCATCGTATCCTTGTGTACCCTAAATGTTCAAAGGAAAAGTTTATAACATGAATGACAATAAACTAGCTTTCCCCAACGCTTGCTGGAACTTCCGATAGTGCGACAATTTTGCATAATTTTCTAGCATTCCGTGATCTTAATACATACAAAATACTTTTATTGGAGGAGATTGCTTCAAAACTCCAAAAAGTTTTGATTGCTATCTGGACTATTTCAAGATGAGCATTGGTATTCAAAGATACATATTATGTAACGTGACCGAACAAAAATAAGCTATCAAAACGATGCGTTTTAATTTTGAAAATGATATTTTTGATATATAGTTATAATTTCACGGTACTTTGTGCAACTGATAAACCGAGTTTGTTTATCTGCCAAAAAGACATACAGTAGATACCTTTGTTTTAGAAGCAAAGCATTACAAAAATGTAAAGCATTACAAGTTAAAAATTGTCCTTTCATGAGGCGTTCGGGACTTACATTTATCTGTGAATCAAAATTGACCATATTTATGACTTTATGACTTTATAATTTTATTTTTTGATATATTTTTACCATTTTTCAAAGTTTTGTACATTAAGACAGTATTTTTTTTATGTGGGCTATGCAGCAATTTTTTCTGCAATGGTTAAAATCGTTAATGCCAGTATTAATTCAGAAAGACGTATTGTTAATATTTATTTCTGTACCATTTATTCATATAAAGTGTGTGAAAGTACATAAAATAATGCATTATTGATTTGTTTTTGTTTGTTTGTTTGTGTATTGTTTAACGTCCCTCTCGAGAATTTTTCACTCATATGTAGACACCACCACTTGCTGGTGGAGATCTAGAGCTGCAAATTTTGACCTATACTCGGCACTCAGGGCCATTAAACAGTGAGGGATTTTTTTCGTGCCAACATCTACTGCGACACAGAACCTTGGTTTCTACGGTCTCATCCGAAAGACCGGTCTCCACGTCCCACAGTGGGATTCGAACCCGCGACGGAAGGATCTACTCCTTACTCCGCGACTCCAGAGCGGACGCTCTACCACTGCGCCACGCGGGCGACTTTTGATTTGTTAGTTATATTGATGGAAACAGTCACGGTAGCGTAGTGGTAGTTTGTTCGGTTCTCGTTCGCCGCGCTGCGTCAAGACCTAAGACATAAACATAGGTAGTGACTGTTCCTTCGCCAAGAGCCCGGCAGTAGAAGTAAAAGTTACGGGTCTTTCGGATAAGACGTTATAAGCCGAGGTTTCGTGTCACGGTAGACATTGGCACGATTAAGAATCCTCACTGCTCAATGGCCCTGAATACCGAGTATAGGTCTTAATTTTAAGCCCTTCACTGGTATATGGTGACGTCTCTATATAAGTGAAAAATTCTCGAATGTGACGTAAGACAATATGCAATCAATTAATTAATATATTGATCGAAGAGCCCGCTTTTTCTTTAAGAAATCTTTCATTCGGTTTAAAAAAATCGGGTTTGACTAGCTTAAGGTTAATCAATTGATTAACGCAATCTTTTTCTTAAGAATTAATGAAAAAAAAATCATTAGTTGTAAAATTTGATAATAACAATGTGTTTCGAATATTAACATTTTACATTAATAGAAAAAAAATTATCACCAAGATATGTGTTGTTACATGTGCTTGTAGGGAAGTCATTCCTGGCATTTCGACAGACAACGATCCTGAGAAAAGATTGGAAACAGCTTCCAAAGCGATCAACATTCCAATATATGTTCTTCGCTTCAAAGACAGAGAAAAATGTTGGAAGCGATATGTTCCTTCAAACGTAGAAACATCAGACAGACAGCAGTGTACTTTTTATATTACCTTTCTACAAGTAGATATGGATGACTATATTTGGTTCGAAAGAATCGTTCCAATCAAAGGATGTAACTGTAGTATTTTTTCGCCGGAAGTTGCAAACTTAAGAAAAGAAGGTAAAGAAAAATAATACAAGCGTTATTTTTAGAATTTAGTTAATGTTGATATCAAACGTAAAAAAAAATATCAATTGCTGACCGGAGATTAAAAAGAAAATTAGAAAACTTGCATACATGCATTTACTTTTATAATGTGAAGAATTCGGAGTTTATATAATTATGTCTCTTACGTATGCACTGTTGTTTGATGATATATTTCTTTTCTTCTGTTTCTAGATCAGAGCTACACCGAAACGCTCTGTATTGCACATGAACAAAGACATACCCCACTTGTTACCTTTCTGACAGAAGATCCAGAAATGATTTTATTTACACATGAGGAGCGACAGTATCCACTTTTTACCAGGTTTTCTGAAACGCGATCAATTTTGGATCGGCCTGACATGAAAGACAGAATGATTGACGCTAACGATGATAGCTTCTATTCCCTGTATAGATGTATCAGTAAAGAAATCTTTGGAACCGAAAATCATTATGAATTGATAAGAAATGAGGTACTTTTAGAAATACTTAACAATCCTGCTATATACGCTAAATTTCTCCGCGACGAACGACAATCAAAGCATAAGGAAGAAATGGACGAGTTTTTGGATAACTTTCGATTTCGCAAACACTCATTCCTTGACAAGATTATACCTCGAAGTGTACTAGAGAGAAATGAGGTTTTATTCTTTTCAAATCGTATTGAAGATGGTTTAGAATTAGAAGACCTAGAGCTGTTTGCCACCGCCACTTGCTTTCAATGCAGCATTTACGTTGTGTCTATTGTAAAGAAAGAAACAGAAATAGAAGAATTTTCAGGATGGAGAAAAATAGAAAAACTGCGCGTAAAAACAAAGCCATTGGGTTTAGAAAACAGGATATTTCAAAGTCAATGTCAAAATACAGTGGAACATTATGTTACTCTTTTTAAGACATGTGCTGGAATTTATCAGAGAATCGCAGGGAACAAAGAGTCTATTGTATGTAACTGTTTACAAGAGCCACCAGTAGTCCCTTCAATGATTAAAAGAGATGATTCTATCAAGAGAAAAGGTGTGCATGTATTTTTCTTTCTTTATTAGCTCACCTAAGTCGAAGGCCCAGGTGAGCTTTTTATGATCAAAGAGTGTCTGGCGTTCGTTTGTGGTCTGTCGTCTGTTAACCTTTCAAATTTTCGACATCTTCTCGAGAACCACTGGACCAATTTTAACCAAACCTGCCACAAAGCACCCTTGAGTAAAGGGGATTTAATTTTTTCACAGGAAGCCCCATGCCCTCTTTCAAGTGGAGATAATTAAGAATTCGTAAAAATGTGATGGCATTTAAAAAAAAATCTTCTCAAGAACAACTGAGCAAGAAAAGATGAAACTTACGTGAAAGCCTCATTACATACTATAGATTCAAAATAGTTCATATCATAACCTTCGGGGGTAGGACTCGGCCACAAGAGGTGGTCGAAGTTTTGCAAACGAATATATAAGAAATGTCTTTAAAGATCTTTTTCTCAAGAACAGCAAATCCGTGATTAGTCATATTATTATAGAAGTATCCCCATTGTATGTAGATTCAACCTAAGGTATTGTAGAATCAAGTTTCTTCAAATTATGACCCCCAGGTAATGGGAGGTTGGGCACAACAGAGGGTCAAAGCTTTACGTAATAATAAATAGGAATCATTTTTAAAAAAAAGAAATCTTCTGCTCAAGAAGAGCAGAGCCACGATTAGTCATATTATTATAGAAGCGCATCCTCAGGTAATGTTGATTCAAATTTGTTCAAACTTAGGGTGGGAAGGGTGAGGTCATAATGAACGATCGGAGTTTTACACAAGAATATATAGGGGGAAAAAAATCTTTAAAATTCTTATGCTCAAGAACAGCGAAGCCATGATTAGTAATAATGATATGGAAGCATCCTGGGGTAGTGTAAGTTCAAGCTGCCCCCCCCCCCCCCCCGTAAATCAATACTGAACAGATTTCTGCTTTTTCCTAGCCAATGTGTTCAATTGGTCCATAGGCCTCTTGTTTTCGGAAAATTACGAGGTTTTAATCAAAATCTTTTATAAAAAAAAGAAGAGAATTATATGATTAAGAAAACTCCTAGCAAAGCAGAAATCAAATCAAATAAATTTAAAATCATCGTTCATTCAGGTTTTATTTTTTAATTGATAAAGTTCTTTTTCCTTCTGCTGGTTTTAGATTTTGACATTGGAATCATCAGAGTTTATCAGGGGATTGAAAGTCAACTTTACAGGACACAGCAAAGATTTGAATTCTGGATGAGATGTAACATTATATTCGAAAAGTTCTGCACAGATTCCATCAATCTTCTGGAGGGACGAAGGAAGAAAAGTAATATTGCCAGTATTACAGGGTCATCCATTGGTTTGATAGGCGGTGCACTAGCAGCTGCAGGCATTTTCGCCTCACCCGTCACGGCGGGGGCATCTCTAGGCCTTGTAGTAGCTGGCGGTGTAGTTTCTGGTTTAGGAAGTGTTGCTTCTGTGATTTCGAAACTCACAGAGTTAGGCTTAAATAAAAAGGAATCAAATTTATACAAACGGCTACAAATGAATATGAGAGAACACTCAAGACGCTTAGAAAATGAAACACAGAATCTTGAAGAAGTTATGATGAAGTTGGATGAAATTATTAAATCTAAGACAGGTATTGCAAATAAATTATCAAGGGCAGATCCCGTACGATCATCAGCCATCTACCTAAGATCTGTCAGTGGAATAGCCTCATTACCAATAGCAGTTTTACGAGCTTTATCACGAGCTATTGTCGCTGCAGAGGCATTTTTTATTCCAGCGTCTGTGTTATTAGATGGCGTTATTTTAGTTTTATCGGCGCGAAACTTGTACAAGGGCTCTATTACTGGAAAGTCAAAAGAGCTAAGGACAATGCGGAACTTTTTAAAACTTACAAGGATTCAGATGGTAATATGGGCATTTGGAAACGATGCAAGACAGTATATTTACGAATGCGAGGTTCGTATAATTATAAATATTGCACAGGTTCGTATAAAGTGTGGTTCTCATCAGAAATATAACTTATCGAAATCGTTTTTACTAAGATAATCATATACAAACCAAGTGAAATGCAATTGTCAATAACACCAGTGCCATTCATTTGAAAAATACCTTCGTGAATATACATGTATGATGATTTAAGAGGTAAAATCAAAACAAGCAATTCCAAAAATTCCATGTAATCATTTCATTTAAATCTAAGGGGTAAATTTTAGAACAAAAATTTATTTTTTCGCTCTCATTTCTCATTTAATTATATTCAAGGTCTGTTACTTAAATAGATATTTCACTTTTTTGTTGTATAATTTGTGTTATCATAGTTATGATAGACTTAAAGTTCTGCTACAAATTCCTTTTGCAGGATGCTGACTGACTCTCCAATAAACCCTTTGAGAATTTGAAGAGGATAAACTGATGCGAACGTTTATCGGACGCGAAATCTACGGCATACGTCACTGTTTAACGATTTGATGTGACGTCTCAGTATAACTGAATAAGTGAAACCCTCTGCCTATGGAGGGTTCCAAACTCTCATTTCAGCTTGTTCATAGACTTTGTTTTATGGTGCCTCGAATTAGAATTTTCAAATATATTTAATGTAGTTCTGAGTTTATTTAAACGCACAAAATTTTAAAGGTAATATTGTTTGATACGTAATATTTACTATTCATGTTTTATATATTATGGTCTTTCAATAATTATAAAATACATGCAGCTAAAATGATTCTTCATACAGTTTTATATTTTGATTGAATGATTGATTGTTGTTTTAAGTCCCGTTCGAGAATTTTTCACTCATATAGAGATGTCACCATATACCGGTGAAAGGCTTCAAATTTAGACCTTTACTCGGCACTCAAGGCCACAGAGCACTAAGGGTTCTTTATCGTGCCAACGCCCACTTTGACACGGGGCCTCGGGTTTAAAGGTCTCAGCCAAAGGACCCGCAACTTTTTACACCAAAGTGCCGAGCTCTTGGCAAGGGAACAGATGCTACCTATTTTTTTTAATCGACCTAGGTCAGTCACACATGTTTATATTCGATTTAAAAGAAAATTAGAGCAGGAGACTTGCTGCTCATGCTTGATGAGAGGATCATAGATCAAAAATATTTATTTATTTCATGGGCATCTCTTAATAGCTGATCATCCCAGCTAGCTCCTGATTGTCCTAGGTTAAATTTTGATACACTTACAGAATAACAATGTTTTTCAATGTTCAGGTACCTGTGTTACAATAATAAATAAAGAAGTATTTAGCATCAAAATCAAAGTAAAAAAGAAATTTTATAAAATATATTACTGTATATTCTGTTTATGTTTTTGCTTTTCTTGAAATCTGGATCGACTGTTCTTAAATCTTGGAATTGATGAACTACAACTCAGAATACAAAGGTATTGATAGACCTTATCATTTATTTGTAGATTTGGCAATGATGACATATTGCGTTAACGGACTTCTTTGGGTATACAAGATAAAATAATTTTTAAAAACAAATCGGTTTCCAGTGGCCTGGAAGCACTTTGTTTACTTTTGCGCAGACTAGCTTACCTTAACAGATTGATTGATCTTGTTCCCATATTTGAAGAAGTGAGCCGGAGATGAGCTTGATCGTTATTTACGTAACTTCTAATTTCTTATGCATAGATACACTATTGATATTTTAATCATAGCTGAACACGTTAAAGGATATTTAATCAATCAAGATTGTAAAGAGAACTTAAAAAGAATAAAATAGATCTATTTAACATTCGATTATCTATACATAAATAAAATACTTATTTTATAGACATTGGATTTCATTTACAACGTGCATAGAGATAAATTGACGTCTCTAAATCAAAGATGACTACAAAGAGATTTGCTAACTTTGATGTATTCAGTGAATAAGCTTTGTCCTCTAGAAAATTGTTTGGGATTTATAGGTGGCAAACTTCGTCCCATCGTCGGAAACCCACGGCTGATTACGCTTCGTTCCTCTCTCCATCTATATAGGAGAGAGGAACAAAGCGTAATCAGCCGTGGGTTTCCGACGATGACTTCGTCCAGTTTCACGACCATCTCAGTATCAAAACAATATTTACTTAGGTACATCTACATATACTTGCTTACTCAATTCATGTATATTTCAGAACTCTAAATCAGTAAAAGATTATTTACAATTTCAAAATGATGCAGTTCACTTGCCAGTCAACACATTTAAATTTCAATATATGGAAATATATGCTACTTCCAACCAATTTTAAATGAATTTAGCTTTTTAAACATTTACATAAATCTTATTAAATTACAGGGCACAAGCAGACACATGGGTTGAAATCCCAATCGGTAAATGTATCCAATGAACTTATCAGAACTTATCAGGACCAATCGAAGGAAACACGATGATACAAGAATCTTTTGAGAAAGCAGCCTTGTAATTGATCTCTTACGTCACATGAATTCCACGAAATCCCCGAACCTTATTGTCTATATGGCGATGATGCACACCCTATCAATCAACATCTCGGCCCTTCAAAGGAATTCACCTTACAGCACAGGAAAGGGATTCAACAGACAAATGTCCGTTAGACAGTGTGTTGAGTAGGGGTTTGATAAAGTTAGTATTTGCATTTTTAATATGCATCAGTATGAAAAACACAACAAACAGTCATAGGAAACAATTCTTAACACTAGGATTTCGCTTTTTAAACCTAAAGCTATATATAAAAGAAAATTAAATTACGAAGTAATATGGTTTTGCTTTTTTTTTTTTTACTGAAAAATAAATGTAAAAACTATTTCACTTGATACTTTTCCTACCGCTAATAGTTCTTGATTTTGTGATTTTATGACATCAAAAGGCCCATTGATGTAAACAGAGCATTGGATTTAACGTAATTCTACCCTATTTTAACAAGTTAATTTTATTTATATCCACAAATTTTGCTATGTACAACTCAAATCAAAAACTGGCAATTCGCAGCTAGTTTTTTTTTTTTTTGCTAAATCGCATATATTATAAAATAAGAGAATCGAAACAACCTTATATGAGTGAAAATGTCATTTAATCAAATAAATGACGACAACAGACAAAATATATAAACACATACAAATATTTAAATGGCCGGGATATAAAGTCAAGTAAACAATGTTTAAATCTGACTAGTTTCAATTAGAGAACATGACGACTGGTCATATAATAGAAATCTCAGCCAATACAACTTCAAGAAAGCTAACTACAATAACTAACTAAAACCTTACAAATCATAATTGTAAAAAAAATAGAGCAAATAAGGTGGTGCACAAAAGAGCCACAAGCAAACATACATGCTGTTTACAGGATGTGTGTTTCTGCGCCACCCAAGAATAATTTTAATTATTTTTGTGGATATAAATTTGTCAGTGTTTTCAGATAAGTTAACTGACTTCGTAGTTTAGTCAATTTAGTTTGAACGTTTATACGGCAAGGCGACTGAAAACGGGAATTTTTTTTGGAGGATGGTCCTGATGAATTTCCAATAAAATTACACGTTTAACCTCCAAATATGATTACTAACTCTATAAATCAAAGTTTTAGAATAAGAATAACGATTTCTTATTTATTTAATATTATCACTTGTTAAACTCCTTATTTTCTATACATTAAATAGAAATATTTCCACTTGCAGAAGCCATTACTTTTTCTTGATACGTACATGTATGTTTTGTTTGAAAGTCGTCTGTACTTATTCGCATACATACAACTTTTCGTAGCTTAGTTTTTGTCGGGGATGTTTTTGAACCATCTGCGGGAGTATTATTTCAAAAAATAAAAAAATGAAGCAATAATTCCAAGAATTTTCAATCACAAAAAAATAGGAAAAAACACGGAGGGGGGAGAAAGATTAACAGGGGTAGGGATGGAGTGTTGTACACGAGTAAGTGAATATAAATAGACGCTGTCAAATTAATAGAATTGTATAAAACACAAACACAAGAAAAAAAATTGTTTACAAGTTCACTTGTCAATGAAAAATGAGTCATTGACTGCATTGGACTCTTTGTGATAAAACTAAGCTGTAAATAAATTATTTTACTAAAACAACTGCCCTGGTTATGAAAAAATGAATTCATTCTCCCTCTCCCTTCTTTTCGATCGCTATTACTCTTTCTCTCAATCGATCAAAGTGTCAAACGATAAAAATGATCAAATTACACTGACATCTTGCAAATATGCGATGAAATTTTTAAAAAGAAATACAAACCTGATCGTACAGTGTATAATTATACAAGGTTTGATCCATGATTATAATATTTCCTAAAATTACGCTGCAAAATAGCATGATAGTTTGTAAACATTGCACAGCTTTGAGCAGCGACTGGGCCTTACTGAGCATATGCTAAGGGACATAAGCAACGTAAGACATAGCTCATTTTCACAATCGAGTAACTTCGTTCGACGGTGCTGTCGCTATCTTGCATAGAGAATCCAAAAAAAAAAAAACCAACCAACCAACCAAAAAAAAAAAAAAAAAAAAAAAAAAAAAAAAAAAAAACAACAAAACAAAAAACAAAAAACCAATTTCAGTCTTATTTTATCAGCTTAGATGAACTTAGTCAAGTATGTAGCTCAACATGTTCAGGTAGCTGTTTCCTATAACCTTTAATGATAGATTGTATTGGCTGGCATAGTCATTGTATCGACCATAGTGCAAGCGAAATGATGACTTTAAACGAGACTGTTGATATTCTTGTTTCATTAACTCGTTTGTCAATAGCTTGCCTCGTTTCAGAAATTGTTCTTACGTTGAGCATTCTGTTGCGTATGGAATCAACTGTGAGACATAAACCTCATACGCAGATGATAATGGTATATTGCTACATAAGTAAGGGAAGTTGACACTTGAAAAGTTGAAGTTATCACATTTATCATAAAGCCTGTGTGTTAGGTTACCATTAACGTCTTTTTCTATCAGACTTTGTGGTATCTTTTATTTCAAACTCAAAGGGATATATCGAGTCGACATATGAATGGAAGTAAATATTTTAATTGATAATACGTCATAAATATATCTAAATGTCGAGTTGAAGACACCGCAAGTGTTTCTTCTTCTCATGTATAAGCTTTTGAGTAAATTCTACTTCATATGAGTAGAAAAGTAGGTCTGCTAATGACGGGGCGCAGGTGGTACATATGGAAATTCCGGCAGATTGTTGGAAGACCAGGGGCCCGTTTTACAAAAGAACTTACGACTAAGACCAAAAACTTAAGTTGATTGTAAAATTTTGCAAAATTAATAATTCTGTTTAAAATTGCTAGCGTAATAATATCTTTCTCCATTTCATTTAGAAAGATTAAAACAATTTTCAATTTAATGTAAATTAAAAAGTTATCAGCAGAATTAAATTTTGGTCTTAGTTGTAAGTTCTTTTGTAAAACGGGTTCCTAGTCTCCAAAAACTTCATACATGCAGATATTGTCAATCAGAAACTCAAACATCTTTTTAATGTCAACTTCAGAGTACTTGTGTGTACAATCAGAATATTTTTTTAACAAAATAATGTTATTGTTGCAAATGACCAATAACAATTTAAGGTAAGTAAATTTATGAGTTCCATTAACATCAACGAATATCGAAGTCCACGATTTTTACGACTATTTAAATGTGTGTAAGATAATT